ACTAATTTAAATTATTTTTTGGATAAAAATGTACTACCAATAGTAGTCTACTATAGCTATACATATACCTAAACCTATAGGTAAAACTCTTAATGTAATATCGTTGATTAATGGTAATACCAAGTAGCACATTTTTGTTTCAAGAAATAATTTTAATTGGCTTAAAACTTTAAATATTTAAAATGCTCTGTAAAATTGTTAAATATAAGATACGCCCTTATGTGATAATTGGGACGGTAAATAATAATATAATCAATAATTAAAAGATAAAAAAGGAAAAAAATCGATGTCAAAAGAATATATGTATGTAATTAAATTAATGATACAAGGAATTAATAAAAAATAATAATATATAAATGTAAGTACACAAAAAAGGGTCTTTACTCACTTAAATAAATTAATAGCAAAATTACTACAATAGGTGTGTCAAATTTATTGGGAACCCTTTAATTTGTCTTAGATAAACATTGGAAAAACAGATCCGTACTAAAACATTTTGTAAAATAAATCAAATTTTTTAACTAACATGATTTTTTGGACTATAAAACAAGTACAAGTACATAAATAAAATACTTATTATTATTTTATGTTATATAATTAATTTTTTTTTACAAAAACAACTTTGTGGGGGCTATAGTCTAGAAAAGTTTTTAAACTTTTTCTACGACAAATAGGTACTTATCATTATCTTAAAATCATTTAAATTAAATATTTGTATAGAGCAACATCTATAAAACAATAGAGTAACCATCTTGGGAATACGGCGCTACGGACACTGAGGGAAAAGAATATTTTTAACAAACGTTGCAATTGTTTGAGCCTGATTAGGCTGATGTGTTTGTTTGTCATATTATTAAATTCTATGCAAACTTTGTAGTGATAGTCATTAAGATTATTTTTACGTTTGAATTAAATTTAGGTGGGTTTCCATAAAACGTGCAATATTTTCCACTAAAATTTATTAATATGTTAACTGTAATAGATAAAACTTATAATGAATCTGCTAACATTTTTGCGAAAACCTACAACAATTATAATAAATTTGTGACAAACATATCAAAGTTTAGGGGTAATTGTGCTTAATTTGGCAAGCGCAATGTTTGAAGTGGGGGAACGCCTCTTGAAACACGTCTTCTTGTGCAGTGTCTTATAAAGTTTTAAATTTGCCTTCACTGTATACATTAGGGTGGCCCAAAAAAAAAGAATATCTTTTTTTTTCTCGTCTCTTGTAAAAATATGTTAGTTTATCATGCTGTAAGAGCCCTGTCAAAATATCAGCTCGATTAAAAAATTTTTAGGGGTCGCTCAAGATTTTTTAAAATTTTCAAAATCGTCAAAAATTGAATTTTTGTTTTATTTGAATTTTTTTTCTTGTCTCGATATTATTTTTTTGGTAGAAAATAATAAAAATTTTGAAAATATCAAATCAATATTTTAATTTCTAAAGCTCGCTAAAAGTTCGTTGGTATTTATATTCAGAGGTCGCTCGAAAACAATCAAAATACTCTACTTTGAAAGTTAAAAAAATCTTAAGCGACCTTTAGAAATCAAAATATCCATTTGAAATTTTCAGAATCATTATTATTTTTAAATTAAAAAATAATATCGAAACGAGAAAAAAAATCTTGAGCGAATTTTTTTAATGGAGCTGATCTGTTGACAGGGCTCTTAAAACATGACAAACCAACATATTTTCACAAGAGACAAGAGAAAAAAAATATTCTTATTTTTTTGGGCCACCCTAGTATACATACAACTCTTACAAAATAATTTTACTTCATGCATTTCGATGAAACGGCTTATCACGAAGTGGCCTAACCCACAAAATTAAAAAACAAAATAAGATTTTTTGCAGATTAACTTACGATGGTCTATTCCATTCTCACAAAATGGCCTATGTATTTTTATAGTACAGACTTTGTACTATAGGCCACCTCGTAGAGTAATAGAATAGACCATCGTAACTTAACTCTCGCAAAATATCACTGTTTTCAAAGAAACCGTAATTTCTTCAGAAATGCACGTACGTTTAATGGAAATTAATTTTATTGGTAACAAGCAGATACCAATTTTTCCTAAAGTTAATAACCAAGAAATTCAAAATTAGTAAGTTTGAGGCAAACTTACATCGATTCATACAAAATTGACTATGCTGGTAGCAAGCAATTACCAATTTATCAGAAAAGTATTCAACAAAGAATTCAAACTCAGCAAATTTGACACAAATCTACATGCGTTTTTTTCAAAAGCAGTTTTCCGAAAGCTCCAAAGTGATGGTTTTTTACCATTAAACCTTGGTACAATCCGCCGTATTTAAATATGTCATACGTTTGAAAAAAACGTTTTTTCTCGAGAAAATGTCAAATTTGTATGTGTAAATCGAAATGAATCCCTTAAAAATGGACTAGCAAGGGGATCACCCTGTACATTATTTTCGCCAAAATAATGTCATCTGTCAAAAAACACAAATTAAATACGTCTTTAATCTTTAATCTTTCAAATACCATCAATAATAATTATCACAAGAGAGTGAGAAAATAATTATATTTATTAAAATATCACGAAAAAATAAAACAGTTACAATGAAATAACATTTTTGTCACATCAATGAGCCAGAAACAAAAGTGAGCAATATTCTGCACATTAAATACTATTTTCAATAGTTTATCAAGTGGATTACTGGTTTAAACAACAATGGTTACTGTTTTATTTTCTTCTCATAAAAATGCAATTTTGAACTATTAAACTGATTTTATAAATATAATCGCGTTAAAAACGATTTTAGGGCGATAAAACAAATTTGTAGAATACTACCCTTTTTTTTTAGTACACCCCTGCCACACTAATAATCAGTTACCTCCGTTAAGTTACAATAGGGTTCCATTTAAGAAAGAAACATTATTCAAGAGGGTCATTGTAGTAATAATTAGATATGCAAAACTGTGTCAAACCTAAATTTTTAAAATATTATTACTTTTTATTTATATAAAATATTATATTTTTTTCCAACATGGGTGTTGTCGGGCCATCTGTATATTCAAAATTAAACAATTATTTTTCGTGGCCCTGTAAATAATTTTAGAAAAATCGACTTGAGTAAATCGCCAAAAATCATTAAGTTAATGCATTGCTGAGTGAAATGTTGAGTAATTTTGTAAATATTATTCTAATTTGTGTATATTTAACTAAAACATAATCTAAGTTACACTTTTTTGTGAAATTGCAATTAAAATTGTGTAATTTTACTAAATATTTGGTTAAACATGAGTAATTACTCAAATTTGGGTAATACAAACTCTAGAAAGTAAAGATTTATTTCTTTCGGTGGAATTCGGGATACTACTACCCTGCGTCTTTCACCTCTTAGTTGCCTGTTGATCTGACACGTTGCATATTCCGTTAGGATTTGTTTTGGTTAATTAGAGTACAAATATAGGTAAGTTATTCCTGTAATATTATATCCTTATATATAAGACTTATCGTATAAGTAATAATATATTGTATGCATATGACTAAGGCCTAAAGTATGGAAAACGAAGTTGTATTTAAAATGGGATATTTAGGGAAAAAATATGGAGTCGGCATTCGAAAGATGAGCTCAATTATTCGAACATTATTGAAATAGGTTAGTAAATCTATCTTAATGATTATTATTAACTTTAACTTAATTATTACTTTAAGTTTTGATCTTGGTTTAAGTTGTTTGTTTTATAAGAAGCATTATATTATTCTAAAGTACGAGTTTTGTTAATATCTCATCCTATTTTATCATATGGGACATTTTTTATATTATTTATTATGTATAATTGTTTTGTATTTAAAAGTATATTTATTTTATTTTGTTGGGATCTTTTCCTATTTTGTCATTGTCCATTTTTTAAATGTATACATTTGTTTTGTATTTAAAAGAAAATTTATTTGATAATTTACTATTTTTATAGATAATTAAACAACTATTTTTAAAAATAATGTACGTTTTTTTAATAAACTTTTGGTTTTATGATGAGTGTAATTTTATAAATGTACCTACCTTAAATAAGCTATTTTTTTGGAACATTGGAAATTATACATGCAAATAAATATAAATTGCTGAAATAGCTTTATTTTTTACCTTTTGCCTTGAATGTTTTAATTTAATTTAATTCCCGAAAAAAGTGACGATTTACTAAAAATTTTGTAATAACTGCCGAATTTTAACACCAAAATGTGTTAAAGTATATTAAAAATTAATTCAAATTTATTAAAAAATGATAGGTTATATAACACAAGTTTTATTATGTATTAATTAATAATGAGTAGAATTAACACTATAAAATTAAATCAAAATAAGTTCAAAGTTACTTAAAAATATGTAAATTTTTACATTTTTCTACATAAATCACTTTTTTGAGTTAAAATTTACTCAAAATGTATTAATATATTTATCTACGCCAGTGAGATAAGAACTTCTTATCCCACTCATTTTGAGTGAGATAAGAAGTTCATTAACGCACGCGTTTTTCTCTGCTTTTAACCAATCAAATAAAAAAGTCAAAATGTCAAAATAACCCTAAATTAAGTCTTAGACAAAAATAATTACCGTTTATTTTTTCATTTAGAGGCGTAGATAAAAATTTGTACAATATACGTGTGATAACGCTTTATTAACGTACTTTTGCGATTTCCCAACTCGTGCTACGCACTCGTTGGGCAAATTTCGCATGCGTACGTTAATAAAGCTCTTATCCCACTTATATCGTAAATAACTATTAACTCATTAAAAGGAAATGAGTTAATTTTTTACACAATCCGGTGTTTTGACAACACTTTGAGTTAATTTTGAGTTAAAATCCACTCAAAATTTTTTAGTGTGTAATTAAAAAAAAATAAACTGAGAACTGTGGTTTGACTCATTTCTGCTAAACCCTGTTCCCTCTTTAATACACAGCGCATCGATTGTTTTGAAAATCGCCAACCGTGTCCCGCATGGCACACTACAATTTATTCCATTCTTCATTTGACCACCGTATTGGACATACGAAAAAACTGGTGGGAAAAAAATAAAAGTCTAAATAAATTTTTTAACTGTTTTTTGTGGATATAAACTTTGCTGTTTTTTAAAAGTGTTTGGAGTGTAATAAAAATATTAATTTGGTAAGCGATAATTTATAAATTTGTTTTTTTCTGTTCCAGATTTTGAAAGTAAAAGTTCTTTTAAAGTTACATTTTTGTTTCTTGGTAGTAATTATTGTTATTATGTATGTAACATGTGGTTATGTTATATTTTTTATGCTTCGCTGTTTAATAACAATATGGTTTTCACTTTTTAATTTGGAGTTATGAATACGGGGTGTTACATATAAAAGTATAAGAACATCGAGTAGAATTAAAAAAAATAACTTTAGGTTATAATTATACAGGGTGTATACTTGTACAGGGTGTCCCAAAATTAAGGGGCCAAACTTAAACATTGCAATCTGCATAGGAAAAATAAACATGTATTGAAAAATGCCTCCTGACGGAGCCAAGGCCCCAAAGCATAATTTTTTGATACTTTGGTAATTTTAATACTTATTCTGAAACTAGACCTAAACTAAAAACTGAAAATAGGCGTACAATTTGGGTGGTAAAGATACAAAAACAACACCAAGTTTTTCAGGGTAAAGGTTTTATTTTTTTTCTAAAATTATAAAAATTTAGTACATTCCACTACAAAAAAGTACTGTGGATTTTAAGAAACCTTTAATATGTGTTGCTACTAATATTTAATAAAAATATTAGATGAGTATGCTAAACAAAGTAATTTGTGAATGCATTTTACTCTGAGAGATGCAAATCAGGAGTACTTTTTTAGGGGGACTGTATGTGCCCCTTTAACGAGTTGGCTGCCTACATTAAATTTGTAGTATTTTTAAAGTTGCCTCATGACAGGGAACGACCATTTAGAAACAGTATTAAAAAGGCGCCTGGCCGCCCGCTTTTATTTTATAGGTCGGCAACAGGAATATATTAATATGGTTCGGAAATATAGGCAAAAGTAACGTCATAATGCTTCTATTCGATTTTCTTGTGAGGTTTATGGTAATCTTTATTAAAATTTTGGAGAAACACATTAAACATACGAAAATTTACGCTGGCGTCTCATGTGTCAGCCAACGTGTTAACACCACAAATTTTATGACTTTTTAATTTAATTTAATTTTGAGTTTTGATTTTAGATCTAGATTTAGCATGTTAAAACCAAAGATAATATTATCTTTGGTTAAAACTAAGTATTTAAAATTAATTTCTTTAAGTTCAACATTTTGGGAACAAATCATTTTTTTATTCACCTCCTCGAGGGGGGCGGAACTCTGTCAGGGGGCATGTTTCGATGCATTAAACAAAGTAGTGAGTGTTTTTTTCTATACATATTGCAGTTTAATTTTGCCCCCGTAATTTTTGGGCACCCGGTTTTATTTAAAGATCTACACGGTTGGTTAAATTAGTGAAAAATTGCGTTATTGAATCAAATCAATTTAGCAGTAGGAGGTATATTTTGTGGTTTGTATAGAAGTGCTACTCTCTAAAAATGAATTAGTCAAAAATTAATAATTACTACAGTTATCAGTGGCTGCTTTTTCACTTATACCATGGTATACCCTTTCGCCGCAATGTACTATCCGAACCTCCTAGCCAGGGAATTATATATAATAATAATATTAAGATATATTATAGGTTCACATACACAATAATCTACATTTTCATCCAATTTCTTCGCTATTAGTTTTTGAGCTACCACACGGAGAAAATAAAACAGTAACTATTGATGCGCAGAACAGTAGATAATCCACTTTTGACAATAATATTTAATGTGCAGAATATTAGTTCCTAGCACTACTTATTGATGTGACAAAAATAACCATCGTTATTGTCAAAGTAACTCGTGAGGTTTTATTAAAACTTGTATTATTTTAAATAGTACATTGACATTGACGTTGACGTTGTAGTGGATTCTGCGCAACAATGGCTACTATTTTATTTTCTCCGTGCATGGCCATTTTTTGTTTTTATAATGTCAGGCATATCTTATGTAGTTTTATATGTATATCGTTGGATGACAGGTGTTTTTTTCTAACTAACCATCTACAATTTCAATATAGCAGCCATAGGTAAAACAAAAGATAGTGGTGGTAACTCAAAATTTAGTAGACTTGTGTGGGTTTACATGTTAAACTTACTTTTTTCAAAATTCCCAGGAATATCAAAATTATAACAATTTTGGTTTTAACAGGTTTCAGTTTTTTTAAATTTTTTGAGAATCGATGTTTTTTTTCAATTTTAATAAACTTATAACTATTTTTGGTTTTACAGGTTTCAGTTTTTTTTAGTTATCTGAGATTCGCTGTTTTTTGTTTCAATTTTAATAGACTTAATTTAGGTACGAAACTTTTCTATAATTTAACCGACCTTGTAACTAAAAAAGAAAGGTGTATATTAAATTTTGTTTTGTCGAGACGGTGGTTTAGAGCCATGCTAGGATTCGCTAGTCAAGTTATTAACCAAATCTATATTAATTAATTAATCCCTGTGCATTCGCCATTTTTGCAACAAAGGGCCTCGAAGCGGCCAACAACTTTTGCGAAACGGCTGTCCACGGTTAACGTGTCAAAGTTCATTACAATCTGTTTACTATGGTTGCATGGTAATTAAAATTATAAGATTACTATTGGCTCTGATAAAAAATTTGAATGTTTTAGGGACCTTTAAAATTTTGTTTATAACGCGTACCCAAAATTGATGTTATGTTATTCATCGGCTACAATTTGTCCCAAAAAATATGATTTTAGGTACTTGTTACGAAAGTAACTATTTTTCACTTCGGCCTTGGTTTTTATACAGTTCACTGGATATACTACAACAAAGTCAAATTAAGCAAAATTACTAAGTGTAAATTATAAACAAATTGTATGTTTATAAAGCCAACATATCTATATAATATTATGACCCTGCTTTTCATAAAAAATTGCTGGATTTAAATAAATGATATTAAGTGACAATGATCCCAACTTTGTACATATATCAAAATATTCTTTTATGAAAACTCACTGCACTGGAAAAAACTAACTGTGTATTGAATAAACCTTACTGAAATTTAATTATATAAAATAAAATATACACTTTAATCATAATTAACAAAAAAGTACGGAATTTTCCCAATAAAATGTTTAAAAAGATATTTTGGCAACTATGTTAAAAATGAAAGATGTAAGGAAATTTAACTTTCCACCCTAAATTTTTTTTCTGCGTACGCCCCTGCTGGTGTATACACGTACAAGAAAATTCTGAAATGATTAAAACTTTTTGGGGTGTAAACGAAGTTTTAGTTTAATTATTTATCAAATATTTTATCATATTATAAACTAAAAAGTTGTATGTATTAACGCTGAGAACGCTGAAAAAAATAACATATTTTTTTTTCTAAAACAGGAGAATTGGCTGTACAAATTATTTTTTGAATATGTTTTAAATGGCATATTTTATTTAGTTGTGAACAAAAACGGTTTATAGGAGAATTTCCAACACTGAATAGGTGGTGTCTTACTAACTTAACCAACATATTTGGCCAACCCCAAAAATTATATTATCTACGAGGAATTCCATACAAAATTTACCTATCAAATGCGATTTTGCTAAATTAGTTGCGGTTTTCCCCTATATTTTTCCCCAATGACCAATAAAACAATTCTTATTATTTATTCTTAGAAAAACCGTTTATAAACAGTATTTTTAATTATAATCGTGTTATTATAAATCATGTTGCAAATATTAAAGACTAAAAGGTTGATCTAAAATTTAACATAATTAAAAAAAATCTTATTTTAAAAAAACGTTTTTTTCATAATCTCTATTTAGAAAACCAGAAATAAAGCAAAATTAGGGTGTGGCCTAGAAAAAAAATCGCCTGCACTTTGCCTGCGGAGTTTTCCGCCACTGGTTGGGATATGTTTTTGTACATATTTAATTTTTTTAGATTTTTTGACGGTAGATTTTAATATGTCGAATTTTCAAAACATTTACGATTTTTGTTCAATCGTCCATATTTTATTACAAAATTAATCGATTTGGCCGTTTTTTAAGTTATAGGCTAGAGATAAGAATAAATTAAAAATAATTCGATAGAGTATCGAAAATTTGTTGCCAGGAAATAGAGCCCCTAGAGCCCTATTATAGGGCTCAAAAAACTTATTCTCTCGGCAATAATTTAAATAGATTATTTTCACTATAATAATGTTTTGTTTGATTGCTTGACTAAAACGTTAACACATGACTGAAATTAAAAGTTTTTATTAGTTTTTAGAAACCTCAAAACATAATAAAAAAAAACTTTGGACACCTATTTTCCCGGCGCATTCGCCATTTTTTTTAAATAAAATAAAATATTTTTTTACTTTATTTTAACAATCAATAATAAACAATGTAAAATGTCTCACTCATAAAAATAAACTGTTTGGCATGACTCACAATTTTCTTTAAGTTTATCCAAGGTTATAATCTCAAGAAAACGGTTGTATGGAAATTTTCCCCAGGTAAAAAATGTGTTTTAAGGGCTGTGACCTTAAATAAAATTCAGGTGTTTCAAGGTCCTAAAATCCTGAAATTGTCTGCATGAAATGATTTAATCTTTTCGTAAAATCAGAATATTAATAGGTTTTTTTTCGTTTAACTATTAAAAGGGTAAAAACCTTGGTTAACAGTAAAATAAAACATAGGTATATATATTTTTTACTTACAAATATTTTTAAAAAGAACTTACAAAATATATAAATTAAACATAAAATAAATTTGTATACATATATAACACTTATTTTAACGAAATATTTATAAATGTATGTAGGTATTCATAAAAAGGATGTTACACAGAATTTTGCAATTTTATAAAATTATAAAAAATATTTAATTCATATAGTGTAATTCAAACAGTGGTGTACTAAATTTCTTCTAAAGTACTTAAATAAATTAAAAATTGATCAAAATATACGCCACTGGTTACTAAATAGGTACCTACTTCACAGTTGATACTACACGAGCGGAAACCAATTTACTTTCCCAGTTTCCGTTTCAAAAAACAATAGAGTACCATAACCATATATCACTTGATTACTATTTAATAA